AACCCTCCATTACGTGGATGAAATCCCATCTTGTATCTGCTGCTACTGAAGACAATATTATTTTGCCAATTACGCTACTTTCACTGTATTTATTTCCTTTCTTGTGTCTTTACTTTAATTCTCTGCAACAGTATTAAACTTAAGATTAAGTAAGTATTACAACAGTGACACGAAGCAAGCGAAATTAAATCATGAATATGCAATGAGATAGCAGCTGTCAATTTTTTCAACTACATTTAACTTGAATTGACTCGGTTTTAATACGTTTTGTGCATTGAAATGTAGAATGTAAGGATTTATTTTAATTAAATTGATCCATTACAATATGTTTGATAAGATTATATTGTATACGTTTGTAATCCATAGATATGGCTTGTTTTGGTTTTGAGAAGTTAAATTATTGTTATCTTTGATAAATTATCCTTATCGTAGGTTAGTTATTATGTTTATCGTAACATCAACACACTTCCTTATCGTATATAAACGTTATTGTTATTGATTAAGTACGTGTTAAGTGTGTATATTATTTTGGACTACACAGCATATTTAATTAACTGGTCTTCAAAATTAGGACATCGAAATTTGACAGTCTATAATGAAAATAATAACCTAATACAAACAACAAATCTGACTTCAAATGATGATAATATTAATGATCAAAATTCAGACATTACATATTATTCAATCGTGTCCAAGCAAAAACTATCGTATCTATAATTTGCGTCTTAAGTCACTTAGCTAGTTTTACGTTAAAACGACTATAAGAATTAAGAGGAAATTTTAACAGAATAGTGGACGCTAAATCATTATGAGAGAAAGTTTAATATAATATTTGCTATATAGTGACCCAATTTAGCATAAAATCGCGTTGATTTTATAAATAACATACACAAACACAAATCTACCGATTCATCTGTCCGTTCTGTTGTGTATGACGAACATTGCCAGAGCACGGGGCCACTAACCTTTTAATGTAAAGGTACCGCACTAAACGCCCAAGGGACAGTGACGCAACCTGAATCAAGTAGCGTTGGATCCACAGATGTGGGTTTAAGTTGTATTTAAGTAAGCATATGAATTATATCTTAATTTCGTTTTATCCCAGGACCTAGATTTAGTAGCCTCATCTAGGTTTAAAACAAGCAGCTTTTTTTAAAATATTAATATGGAATGGTGCACCTGCCTAACGTAATACGCTAACGGTATACTCTGATGGGGCACTAGGGGAAGATGATAGGATGAGCATGAAGATGCTAAGCTTGTGTTGTGATAACTGGACACCTTACATATATAAATACCTATATTTTTAAACGGTTACCGTAGTCTATGGACTCCTGAAACATCAGGGTTGTCTCGTGCGTTGCCGACTCATAAGAAACCTTAATAAACCTACACTTCTGGAAAAGAAGAAAGAAGCTTCTGGAAAGAAGCTGCTGAAACCGCACTGTTCGAGACCACCCAGGTTCAAGCGTGTAGGGATGAATTTTCTGTCGATGGCGAGCGGTGCGATGGTAAAAGGTAGCCGTAGGCATCGTGATCGATGTTTTTTTATACTCTTTCCGTTACATGCAGTATCCTTTATACAATTACATTAATTAAGGCTTGTCGTTTTTGCTTTGCTCGTTTTTTTTACATAGAGTACAAACAAAAAATTATATGCAAGATATTCTAATTCATACTCTATGTACATCATAAATAGAATTTAATAGAAAAATAACCGTGCGCGTTCTGACTAATTTAAAACAAAAGGATTTCTAGAAGAAATCTCGTTTCTTGTTATACGTAGCTATTGTTACTAACTCATAGTTATTAGTTTAATAGACAAGTATCTTTATATCGCGTCATCGAAATCTATCTATATATATTTTAACATAAAGGCTTTATATTTCTGTATGTTCGTGATAATCTCAAAAATTACTGGAGGTTTTTGCAATTGCAGAGTGATTTATAAGGGCGGTTTAGGTGTATAATATAATTGCAACGTGTAATGCCGGGTAGTCTCTAATTAATATATAATTAAGTAGAATATATATATATATATATTGCTGATGGTAGTTTTTCCGTGGTAGTTTCTATGTATAGTTTGTATTTTAAAAAAAGAAATATATCCAAGTATCCATGTGGCTGATTGTAAATAACAGCTTTTCACTAAATGCAGATGAATGTCTATACGATATTTAAGTAAAAAAAAAAAAATGTCTGTTTGTTCTTGCTAATCGCTGAAGCGATTTTGACGGGACTTCAACTTGCATACAACTAATATTATGAGGAGTAACTTGGCCTCCTATTACTTTGAAAAATATGTTTTAAAAAAGCTGATAAAGTCACTGTTAACAGCCAGTGAAACATAAACAAGCCGTGTACTAAATATAATTATTAATATACAGCAGAGTTCATTTATACTATAAACTAATCTCTGAAACGAGTTAACCAATTTGTTTGCGGTTTTTCAATGATGTATTTTAGCAATTTTCCGTCAATATAATGTTATTTTCATTGCAATCGGTTACCAAAAAAATCTTAAATTGCAAGAAGTCGCGGATAGAACTAGTTTCATTGTAAGTACAATTACACCTTGTCTAGAAGTCCCAAAGAGACCGGTATGCACGTTTTCTTTTTTTAAATTAATAGTGATAATAATATCTCGGTACAATCACACAGCGCCATCTTTTCTTGGGTTTTTTAAAAATTAATAGTGATAATAATACATCATAACAGCCAGACCGATAAAACAATCAATCACACAGCGAATATCCATCTAGTAAACCCACATGTGAGGCCGTCAAATTAGTGTGGAAGTATCGATAAAAAATACTATATATGTATAGGAAGTCTGTATGTTTGACTGACTGTACTCACGACTAAACTCAACTAATCCTAATGAAAATTATTATAAAGTTAATCGTCGTATAGCCAGGACTATTTTTTATTAAAAAAAAAAACAGTCGAATTCACGGGTAATACATACCGAAGTACAAATATTTCTAGTTTTGTTATCGCATTCAGTTTTACCCACCTGTCCGAGAACAGGATATTACATCTAAATAGGTATATCCACTTTAATACTCGAAATTGCTTTTACGTCTCAATGACCACGTGGTTCGTTCAAGCGATGCTATGAATCGATATTGACACCTATTTCGAATTCATTCACCCCCTAAAGCGTATCATCCTTGACGATAAATTGGCAAGGGCAATGCACCGCGGCGACACTACTATTAGTCACCATGTTTTCATGGTTGAATTCATTGGACTATATATAAACTGTTGGACGTCGTGTTATGGCTTTTGCGGATAATGTGAATTGTCTATGACTCATTAAAAGTGCGTTTCTATTATTTCTGACTTTAAAAGTATGGCCTTATTTTAGGGGCATCATCAATCAGATGCAGTGGATAGTCTATGACCATTTCTTGAAGGTGCATTTCTTTTCGATTAAACGTATAAATTAGTCATATATACTTTGAATTAAAGATTATAATCTCATAGAAACACATTTATAACTTTTATATCAGATGTATTTAATCCTTAATTAATATTCAATACAGTAGTGGATATTGAGAAAACATCAAATAAATAAAGTGCTTTAACACATCAATTAGTTCACTTAAATTCATATTACGAGAGAATGGTTTTGGCTAGATTTTTATGACCGCCTGACTGACGTGAATTTTCAATATATAAAAATGGATACAAATTTGAAGTGCTTTTCAAATTCAAACAAGCGCAAAAATTCACAATTTCGAATGATTTTCTGAGCCAGACTATTTGATAATAATAATAATAATCATTTATACAGCATCGTAATATGGAGTAAAAATATAGAAAAACTTAAAAGCTAATATCGCGCTATGAGCTGAAAGGGCCTCCGCTCAAGTGCTGCAGAATGTCACTGAAACGCTGATCTTCAGTTGAGCCACTCGAAAAAAAGAAAAAGCATTTTTGATATTACTGACTTAAAATATAGATGTGTATGTGATATATTATTTATTTATTTCAATTCAAATTTGGAACTCATGCTCCTCATGCGTAATTCTATGAATTCCGTCAATGACCTGAGACCGCTATAAAGAAACAGAGGTCGATAACATTATTGAAACTCATTACGCAATTAAAAATATAAATTAATAAGTTCATACATTAATTAAAATAAGTTAGTAAACTTTTGGTACATTTTTATGTATAAAAACCGAATATATTCCCTTTATTATACCAATCAAGAAGCGTAAAACAATCTAAAAGAGTGAGACGCAGCGTGGGATTGTTACAATGCGCGTGTCAGCGTTCCGCGAAATGTTTTTATCGTTCCGCCTTGAACTATTATCGAGATAAGCTATATTTGCGTCAAAGGTTCGTTAGCATTGCTATTTCAATTACATTCATCATTTAGGCTCGGAAACACAATCAAAAAAACAATTTTATTTGCTTTTACCGAGGTTTTTTTTAAAGCTATTTACGTGGTCACCTCTGTCTCTCCTATTTCAGCCGCCAAGCAGCTTCCGTTTTAAGCTATTTTTCAATTGAAGGCTGAGATATGACAGTGAAATTGAGTACGGACGCATGACAATTTTTGTCCTTCGGAGCTTATGAGGAGTACAGGCGTTGCATGATAACGAGATGTTCGTTGTGCTGTTCTTGTGTAGGGTTCGAAATATGCATGCCTTTACAGTTATCTTTACTACATACGTAGTATAAAACAAAGTCGCCACCACTATCCGTTCACTTATATCTTTTAAATTGCGCAACGGATTTTAATGTAGTTTTTACCCATACATAGAGAGATTCAAGAGAAAGGTTTATATATAATACATGCGTGTTATAGTATAGAACAAACCGAAAATTCGAAGAGTTGTATTGCATCCGTGCAGAGCCGGGACTGGTTGCTAGTGTAGAATAAAACTTGGAACACCTGCGGCTATAACATGATTTCTTTAATCTTAAAAAATTATTACTGTCTTGTGGATCCTTGTATATTAATTGTTCTTTTTATCATTTTTCAGGTATGGGCCATTACAAAGCAATTTAAATTTTAAGTAAGTTGTTTAATTAAGGTGTCTAGAGAATATATAATAGCTATCTAAAAGCCTGTTAATGATTTTAGTTATTAATTTATTAATTAAGCCACGTTCTATTGAATTGGTAATTAATAATTCGTGTTATAAATTTAATAGTTGTGAAAAATATTTGGAAACCTGTTTCAAGACTGAATATTGCATGACTGTTTAATATTAGACTAAATATTTCTGAATTCTATAGAAGTTATACCTACCTATTAACCACTCCCTTTATATATTTTCTTTTTTAAACTGCATCATATTTTCGATACATAAAATGATTGTATTTGTTGAAATCTTTATAAGGTTATACGACAAATCAAACACAGAACGCTATGAGACAAAATTTAAAGTATCTCGATAGATATGTTCTGTTTACGTTAGTAGTTTCCCCTATATCCAACCGAGAATCAAACTTTAAACGTCATTTAAGTAGCACACCGCATTAACCGCTCCGTCTCCAATGTCACATACTCGGACTTTTTGTAAAAATCAATGTTACGTGTCTTTGGTGAAAGAATAATATTATGAAAGATTTATTTATATACTCTGAACACACCCAAGGGTGTGTTCAAGAAATTCCCGAATGTCAAGCAACGCTTGGTGCGGTGAACGATCTCAATTCGGAACACTCTTTTCCGCGAGCTATTTTGATCGCGCCTTTATGAGAAGCAGCACTGGACTTAACAAGTCTGACGTCTTGTTTACGAATTGTTGACCAAAATAATGTCATACGTCATCTGTCAAATCTTTAATACCTATTTAGGTAGCTTATTTACAATCAGTTTAATAAAAATGTTCTGTACCTCTGTTATTTTTTATATTAATTTTAATTAAGATGAATTTTTTAAAATGGTTTGTTTAAAATGCATAATGCCTATTTAGGTAGTATGTTTATAAACAGTTTAATAAAAATGTTTAGGACCCCTGTCATTTTTATATTTATGCTATTTAAGATTTATTTTTTAAAATGGTATTATTTTAAATGCGTAAATATTTATTTCAGACGTATGTTTATTGTAATAAAGATATATAACACATGTTTGGAGTACAACGCCCTTTGTCCTTGTGTTAGAATGTATTAGATATTAAAGGTCGAATTATAATGGTACGTGTTGTAATATTATGACTACTATTCAACATACTTGCTCGTAAAGTGGATCTAATTTCACCGATTTTCGATATATAAAGCAGCTCATAAAACACGCATGCGTTATAAAAGCAAATAGTGAAGTTATATTCCATAACCGCACTATTTGCTATTTTTTTATCAAATTTCGAACTGATCCGTTCATCTAGTCCGCCCGTACACAAAGATTGTCTATGTGATAACACCACCTTTTGTACTTCCTTATTTATATATTATATTCCTTATTTATTTTTTCTATTCTATTCTAAATAGATATAAAGTGGTTTAAACACTAGAAATGCTTTACAGTAGAATTGATTGACGGAATCATATTATTATTGCAGAAAGAGTCAGCTATTTTTAAAGTATTAAACACATAGTAGATATCGTTGTTTATTGGCACATTGAACGCTGAAAAACGTCTGTTATGATACAACATATATATACATACACATGCTATGTGTACACTTACATGCGCAATAGAGGCGCTAATTTCTTATCACTCGTGTTATTGTATATCTACACTAATTCGACTCGCGGTTTCGTCTGCGACGTCATCGTTATCACGATTTTTTTTAAGTAATCATTAAATAAAAAAGTCACAAAAAAACTGTAGATGTTAATTTATATTTCTGTTTTTTTTATACCACGTAGGTGGCAAACAAGCATACAGCCCATCTGATGGTAAACGGTTACCATAGCCTATGGACGCCTGAAACACCAGGGGTGTCATTTGTGCGTTGCCGACCCTTAATACCTTAATACCTTCTTGAAAAACCCCATGATGTAGTCTCTCGAGAAAACCTCGGCAGGTAGTTCATTCCACAACAATTCCCTGATAATAGTAACATCGATAAGAAATTAAATTCTGCCGAGTTATGTGGATGGATTAGCATATATAGGGTATACAATATTATAATTAAATGTCAACACAGAATCATGTCTCTAACTACCATACCACTTAAGATTTCAATATAGGTAGACAAATATTAATTAACCTTAAAAGAAAAAAATGTACGACGAACTTCTTAGCATTCCATAGATTCACGGTACGTCAACACTCTCCTTCACCGCTCGTGTTTCTCTCCCTGCCCAGCCAAATCTGGTAGGATCCTACTAGTGCAGCTTTAGATACATATTCTAGTATAGAACTCACTACAGTTCTAGATAGGCCAAGATCTTTTGAAGATTATAGAAACATTTCGCTGGTATACCTCTCACTACCACTCCGACTTCATATAAATTAACCACAATATTTATTTGTTTTTATTACACGGTCTTTAGATATATTGTTTGTATTTTTAGTTACTTTTTTCTTTCCGTAATTTCTGTTACTTTAAAAAGTTTGCCCTTTCAAAATTAACTGACAATGCAATATGCAAGGCATCTATAATGGGCGTCCTTAATTCACTGGTTTCTGTGGCGATATTTAGCACACAAACATACTAACATTTGAATAATTTGCCACGTCTACCCGGAAGACGTACCACTCTTCTAGAGACCTACAATCGCGGAGACCGGTATAACAAGTTACACTTCGAGGAGTTAACAAGGCTCCGATACGCTGTATTATTAGAATCGTGTTTCTGTACCACTTTATACTGTTACCAGTTGCATAGACCAGAGAAGTCTGTTCTATGACTAGTTGTGGCCAATGATTCACCTGCAGTTCAAAAAATTGTGGCCGCTCTTTGTCCAAAACCCACCGCTTCATATCGTATCGTCCGTCATCGTTTCTACTTAACAATCTATACAACGTTTTTTTTTTCGGCTTCTAAAGACTGTAGCGTGATATTACAGCGTTATTTACTATCTATTAAAACACTTATTGAGTGATACCTATTACTCACTAGACGACTACTTAAATGACAAACGTGCATGGCAATACTTGTTTGTGTACGGAATTTTCAATTTAATGTTACATATACATAGACAGCGAAATAAATAAATAATGTTAACAGATAGTCTTTAAAGAGTTCGTTTGATCTGAATCTGTAGCTTGAATTGAACAATATTAAAAATAATACAAAAAAATTACTTGGATATGAATAAATGTTCTACATAAATAAATGATTTTTAATTTGAATTATTTTAATCAAATATGTTTACATGTATGTATCATATTTAGTAAACAACCTTGGAATGTCTTTATCGTAACAACAGTGCATAAAATGAGCAAATAGCAAGGAATAGAGGTCTTTTTTTAATGACTATCTATGTATTCGGTACTGTTTTTTATTGTTTTATGTTTGTCTCACTTGAAATGAATGATTGCCATTAAAAGACCTTCAAAGATTGCTTATTGAATAATAGTTGCGAGTACCTGCCACTTCGTACGCATTGCGTTAAAATATAGTCTACGTTCGGCCTCATGATGTGATCTATCTTTGCGTTAAATTACATTAGGATATGGTCAACCGTATGGTAATAAACATTCAGACGCAATTCGCATTTATAATATTAGTACAGGTGTTATAGGTTAATAAGTACCTAGTATCTACGTAAATGTTATAAATTTAAAAGATAATAAAATTTAAAAACTTGCTTAGATTTCGGCGAGTCTTACTGTAAAGCTGTTTTAAATTAAAACAATATATAAAAAACAGCAAGTATAAATAAGCAGATAACATTAATTGATGTTACAATAAAGTATACAGTGTCTGACGCAGAAGTCAATAACCGATGTTCATGCTTGAGAAAAGTTATGAAAGTGGATGATTCATTTAAGGTTGCACTTCTTTGCCACGCTATTATCTTCTCTAAAGCCTAGAAGATAAATAATCACGCAAAGAAAATGAAATCTTTATAAGTGGTTGAAGCTATAGTATAAGGATATAACTAAGTTTCATGTGAATTAATAAATAATATTACATCCATTGATTTAAAATTTCAATCATACAATTTACGGTGTAATAACATTTAACAACAATCTAAAAAGAGTAGGTTTGATTTCTCATGGTCCAGGGAGGTGATTGTAAATCTGTTTCCTGTAAAATCGATTTTTATCAGGTGATCAGTCAGTTTATGAGCCATTCTAGTTACTAAACATACATAGTAGATACTAAACCACTGCTTGCTTGTTAGCTGTTCAGGTAGCAACATCGTTTGCTACTAGCATCTATATAAAAAAGCACCCATTTGAAATGACTAATGATTGTCCATTTTCAATAGTCATCCAACGAGGATCTATAATTTTGTTCGCAATTAACTCAACAAAGTTGGTGATACGGATCGTGGTAACTAGATTTTATAAAGCAAAAACAACAAAAGAACAGATTATAATCAGATTTCAACTTTGTATATAACCATAAATAATTTATATAACGGAATAAGACGATTTGATAACTTTAGTTCGTTGTTTAATAAATTTTGACTAGTCACTGAGACCGAGTCTGAGATCATTCTTTAGATTCGCTTATCTTAAAAATTCACTGGGATTTAAAATGCTAAACTTCATCTAAATCAGATGTATCCTTAATAGCATATGTTTCTTTCGGTACTGTATATTAATCGATAACTAATGTAAAATCAAAAACAGATTGCAAAAAAAAATATTTAAAGATATTTTTAATATTTGTGATAGGTACGAGAAATTGGACAATGAACGTAAAAGGGACGTAATCCGGCATATCATATATATATAGGAAACCCGAACCAATTAACAAAGGTTCAATTTTGTAATTGACCCGGCCGAAAATAAAATCCGAAATCTTTCTCCAAAGCAAAATAACCTACGGCCGTCGTCAATTCTCTCTAAAATAAACGCAGTACTAAAGTAAGTACATCCATTACATCAAGTATCCTTACTTGGTTCAAGAAAGTACTATTTACCGCGCAGGTGTCAATAGGA